GCGATAAATGGCAGTCGAAACATGAATTCTACATAAACAAATACGAGCATGTGAATGCGATTACTGATTCTTTGTTTTTTTTTTTTTTTTTTTTTTTTTTTTNTTTTTTTTTTTTTTTTTTTGTTTTTTTTTTTTGTTTTCATTTTCTGCTGCCAAATTCCGCGTGTTAGTCTACACCACACTCCCACCCACCCCATTCGCCCGCTCCCGCTCCGGTGGTGGCAGGATCAAAAGTGTGGCGAGGAAAAAATTGTCGCACGTGCGATGGCCACAAATAGAACATGTAAAACAGTGGTAGCTACAGGCGAAAAAATTAAAATACAAATAGGAACAGCAACAGCAACAGCAGCAACGACAACAATAACAGCGAGCGGGCGGTTGAAAGAGGGAACACTGCACACACCCTCCTGCCTTGCTGCTGAAAAAGTCACTCGGGGCTGGTTAGCTCACACAAAATAACAATGCATTTACGTAGTGAAAAGCGTAAAGGATGCCGCCAAAAGGTGTTAAATTGAATTTACGAAGGATTGCTTGCGGCGGCGACGGTGACGGTGACGGTGACGGCTGTGGCGGTGGCGCGTTCAATGGCTTGTCGCAGTTTGTCTGCCAAAAGAGACTGCGCTGATGGCAAAGGCTGCCAGCTACTTGTAAATCTGCGTAGTTTTGAAACAGAAGTGCTAAAGCAACAACAACAACAACAACAAAAGCAGCACGAGTATTGCGCAAGAACGACACCTTGTTGAACAGCAAGAAAGGCAACAACACAGTCCTGCCAACAAATGTATGCTTCGCAACAGCAACAACAACAGCAACAGCAATAGCGCTTGCTCGTTCCGGATGGAGGACACAGATGTCTTCAAGTGTTGCTGTTGTTTTTGTTGTTATTTAGAATCGGGTTGTTGTTGTTGTTATTGTTTGATTCCGATTACGTTGGTGGCGTTCGATGTAGCCAAGAGATGGACTGCGCGCGCCACTGTCCATATATACATATACTACATATGTATATATGTATGTTTGTAAATATATGTGTACGTATGTATGTACGTACAACCTCATCGCTGATCGTCGCTTGCCGATAAAGCTCAAAACATTGTGTCGCAAACACAAATAATCGCGTTCTAACAAATGATTTGGTCTCTGTGGAGCGGCAGCGTTAAACAAACGCTGATTTTACTCCAATGTTAAATGAAATCAACACAGTGATTGTTGGTTTTGTTGTTGTTATTGTTGTTATTGTTAGTGATAGTGCTGCATGAAACGCATCCATTCGTTGTACGCTCAGTCGCTCTGACGTTCAGTCGTCGGTCCTACGAGTGAGTTAGGCGTCTCGTTGCTGGTGGGACGTTAAAGCTCCTTTGCGAGTCACCAAAATGAGACAACGAGCCAACGAGCCAATGCGGAGCCGCCAAGCCGCCAAGCCGCCAACAGTCGGCTGCATTTAGCTGTAAAATTGCTTCATCCTCTGCTTTCTGACGTTGTTGTTGTTCTACTTGTGCGCTTGCTTTTACTTCGACTTGGCTGCTTCTACAGCCGTACTTTCGTTCTACCGATTTTACAGCCAAGCGAACACAAGCGAATACATACATACATACATACATACATACATACATACATACATACACTCATACATACATATCTAAATGCAGTGTGTGAGCCGCGAAACGCGCTTGCCTTGGTGTGCGTCTCTCGATCTCTCGTTTGCCGTACGGCCAGTGCGTGCATTGGCAGCGTATGCACGTACGTGTAGGACAGGAGCTGACTGGGGCCTTCGCCCAAAAGGCTGTCAAGTTAGTCCGTGTAGCGATGTTTGCAATGGAAATTTCAAGTGACGCATGCTTAACGTACAATGCAATATACCAATGTATGTATGTATGTATATATTAATGCTGCTATATAAATATGTTCGTTTGTATCTGCATATAAATCTACCACGCGTCTAACTATTTAACATTGATTGTTGGCTGCCTGGGAATATTTCCTTTGCTACAAACTCTTACTAACTGAACTACAAGGCATACATACATACATACATACATACATACATACATACATACATACATATGTACATATACATATACTTCTGCCGTATTTATTGACCGACACTACGGCTAGCTTGCCAACAAAGCTTTGATTGCTCTTTACGGTATTCTCACTTCGATTGTTATTGTTGTTATTTTCTTGTACATTTTCCTTTGTTGTTGTTGCATTTTATTACTAAACTAAGTTAGTTGCTGGTTGGCTAGTTAACTAATCGTACCAATTATCATTCTATATGAATACCTGCTCTGCTCCGGCGGAGTTCATAAATAAGTTGGAGTGTGTCCAAGTGACAGTTCGGTCGGGCAAATGTTTGCTCGCTGTTTGTTAGATGGAAAATAGTTTTTAAATTTTTTTTTTTCGCCGCGCTTACTAAAATGGTTTAGAATGTTTGTTGTTGTTGTTGTTGTTGTCATTACAGTTCTAACAGCATAAAATATATTTGAGTTTGCTTGTCATAATTTGCACTCACTCGTTTTGATTTATTGAGACTGGTCGCAATGAGGAAAACTGTCACCGGCGCTTTAAGGCGCACGCTCAACTTAACCTCAACTTTATTTTTGGCTTGATCGCGTACATTTGGTATTGCTTAAGCACAGTCACTGCGATTGTTAGCTTTTGTTACCGTTGTTAAGTTAGCCTTTGGGAGTGCGACTTATTGCAGCTTTGTCCTGGCGTACGCGCTCTTTCAGCGCGTTCGAAGGAAAATATAGCTGCTGTAGCTCCAAGTGTGTTCGAACAGCTATTAAGGTTCAGTCGTCAGTGTTTGGAGGAATACAACATTTTTTGCCCTACTCTGCACAGTATTTTACCTAAAACCCACTGTATGAAGGCGCCTAAAGTCCAATTGGCTCAAAAACTGAAGCCTCATGATCATCCGATGTGATTTCTTTTCGCTCAACGGCTTGAAGATCACTTGGCAGCAGAGGAGCATTTTTACCGCAGCATCATCTTTACCGGCGACGCAGATCTCCGTCTCAGTCCCTAGGTTTATAAGCAAAACTACCACATCTCGAGCTTAGAAAACCCACACAAAACTATGGAAAATGAAGTGTCTGTTTCGTACGGCATTTGGACCGGCATCAATTAGTTCATTGTTCCTATATTACAAGGAAGGAGCTGTCATTAACGTCAACACCTATTGTTGACTTGCCATGCTTAGCGACTATTTGCTTTCAAATATTCAAGAGAATGACATAGACGTTGTGTGGTATCAACGGGACGGCTTTCCGTGCCACACTGCCAACTTTACAATCGTACTTTTGCGCAACTGGACGCCTAGCAGCTGTGATTTGGCTCCGTTGGTCCGTCATTATTTGTGAGCTGCAGTTAAGAGCAAGTGCTGCGCCAACCAGCCAAAGAGGAACAGACAAAAATGTGGTGAAAAATTGGGTCGACAGACTGGCTTATGGTAAAGACAGCCGCGGCAACCTTGTATTTATCACTAATCACATAGTGATCCGGCCCACGATGAGAATAGCCAACCACCTCAATTCACACTATAATAGTTTTAAAATCCTCCAATGACAACTTGTGGCTGGACTTTAAAGAATTTCTCTTTTGATTCCCACTAGCCGTCTTTGTGAGCAGCCCTGGATGGAGTCTCGTGCCGATTTATATTTTGAGGAGCATATTTTGGCCAATATGGTGTTCTATAGGGCGTTGGGTGCTGATACACGTTCCGCCGTTGTTGATGGTTCGCGAAAGTTCGCGGCTTTAGATCCAAGCATAGCACTAGATGCCACTGCCTTCGTTGCAAAGCAAAGGTGGATCTTTGATTTAGAATGGCACTGGAAAGTCAACTTCAGTTGTAGGCCATGGGAGCGAGAATGTACGACACTCAGTGGATAGCGTGGCCATAATTTGCCTTCATTTTTTTTTTGCAGGCAAATCGGAAAGTGTATTATTTGTCATAAATTTCAGCTTCGGTGTGAACTACTCTTGATTGCCCATTTGTTGCATGTTTTTGTGTCTCTGCACGAAGAAGAAGGAGTTAGTGAACATTTGATGGGTTCTGGACTAAGTTCTGCTTGGAAGACTCCTCATTGGTCTGGCAGTCTCATGTTCATGCCGATTGAAAGCGACGGGGAGTGGATCCTACAGCCGATTCTCATTCATGAAGTTTTGAGTCATCTGTCACATGACTTTATCATCTAGAGTATTGGGAAAAGAGGCTGCCAAAAGAGAAGTCAGTGTTGGTGTAGTCTACTTCTATCACATTAGCCCTGTCCTGGTACTTATTTCCACTAAGGCTGATTTGCCTGATGTCTAATTATGTTACAGCTCGCATCAAGTTTGCCACAGTGCTCTTGTTAAGCCATTAAAAGCAGACATTTTCGTGAATTTTAACAAGAATTCAAAGGTGGCGGTACCTTCAATTTCAATGGCTAATAAGTGGCATACAGAGTTCCATTCCAGCACAACTGATGCCAAAGGTGCAGGTCGCTCAATAGCGATTTTAAGCCGCAGTACGAATCCTTGCGTCTATTCGTACCGTAGACGAAACAGAGATCTATCACACCGCAAATCGGAAATTTTGGTAAAAATCAAAATAGTAGCTTTTCATGGACTACCACGACTCTTCACCTGATCGTCCAATAATATTGTTCCGTATAAATAATTTAATCTTTTTTCTTATCTAGACCGAATTTTCTAGGTAATTAGAGGTGTTGTTTTTTCTCTTCCTCTCTTTCGAATATTTCAAAGGTGGATAGCTTTCTTTCATCCATTCCGGATAACTTGACCTAGATATTTCGCCATTCATCTCAACCTTTTGGTATTCAAAGCATACTAAATACTTATCTTCATTCCCTCCACTGGAGTCATATATTTTCGGTAGGCAGGGCGTAGCGACTTATCTTCATGGCAACTCTTTAAAACGAAATGTGTATGGAATATTTACTTATTACGCTAAATTATTTCACATAAAATGAATAACATAATTTCCCCCCTTCCAATTTCAGGCCTACGAACTCTCCACACTAACCGGCACACAAGTGATGCTACTGGTCGCCTCAGAAACTGGGCACGTGTATACGTTCGCCACCCGCAAACTACAACCAATGATCACATCCGAGGCTGGTAAACAATTGATACAAACCTGTCTCAATTCACCCGATCCGCCCAGCGTCGGTGGTGGAGATCAACGCATGTCAGCGACTGGCTTCGAAGAGACCGAATTAAGCTATAACATAGCGGACGAGGACTCAAAAGTAAGACAATTAATTTACGGCCATCATGGTCATGCTCATCTCAGTCATCCGCAAGCGCCTGCATCACACTACGGACTCGAGCAGAGTATAATGCAATCGCCATATAGTGGTGGTCAACCATCTCCCCTGTCGCATGCGCAAGCGTACGCTACACATGGTGGACATGCGCACCACACGCACGTACCGCATGTGCCACATTCGACGCATTCGCATATGTCGCATACGCATTCGCAGCGATAGGGTGGCAGGTGTAGGGCCGTTAGAGGGCTAACGTTTTAGGCAGTTGTGCGCGTAAAGCAAAAAAAAAAAAAAACAAAAAGAAATGATAAATACACAAAATAGATGCTACAAGTGCCTTTTAGGTGTGAGGAGGGTGTTGTGAGTGTAAAGACTACAAAGCTTTGTGTTTGCGAAAGCTCTTGTCAATAGAGTGAATTTCTAGCATGTAAAAGCACTTGCATCTACTAGTGTTTTGAAATGAAATATTTTAGTTCTATGGAAGCTTGCTTCTTGCACATGAGAGCCTTTCCACAAATGAAAGCTTTTTGGTTTTGCGAAAGCTCTTAGGCTTGTGAAAGCTTTCAAGCGCTTTCACGATAATTTTCATAACATATCTAGGCTTTGTTTATTGCTTGGCGTGTACTTAAAAAAAAATATTTAGTTAAAATTGACATTCCAAACTTTTTCACTTTTAAACTGTTTCTCTTCTTGCGTATAGAAAAAGGGCCATATGTAGCCGAAAGCTTCATACGCGAAAGCTTTCAAGTTTACTTTAGTTGTATGTATCGAATAATAACGAAAACGATCATTGATCTCGCCTTTAATTAGAACATAAATGCTCAATAATTTAATATGAGACGAATTAGATGTGAATGAGAATATGTATTAAAAAATAAAATAAAATGAAATACAAAAACAAGAGAAAAAACGCAAGAAAATAAAACGAAAATACGAAACTAGTCATTTATGATGAGTTGACATGAATCTAAAAATGGTAATAAGACAAAATCCACTTACATACATGCATGCATACATACAAACAAATGCAGAAAAAAAACGCTCTTACATAATAACATACACACACGCATACATATATATTTACCAAGCTTGTTGTAATCTCACAAGTAGTAAGTTGATGAACTGTGCCATATTTTTTACTTCAATTTCAAAGCAAAACACAAAAGAAAAACTGAAAACAATCAACTAAAGACAAACGTAGAACACATGTTTTAACGCCAGCGCTTCAATGTGTATTAAAATATAGTGTGCTTTTAGGCGCATGACCTTTAACGCTACACTTTACGCGCTTCTTGAGCGTTAAACATGAATTCCAGTGCCATAAATTGGAGCTTATTACTATTTACGTACCCAGTGTAGAAGAGATGACAAACAACAACAACAATGTTCATAGCGAAAGCAACAACAAAGAAGGCATTAGTGTAGGCAAAGCGTATAAATAGTGAATTTTTTCTTCCTTAATTCAAAAAAAAAAAAATATTCAAACTGAATTCAGTGCCATTTTTGAAAAAAAGAACTAAAAAAATAAATAAAACGAAAAACTCCGAAGGATTTAAGTTTTCTCGGGCTTTTGCAAAATAAATATGAATATGCCGAAAGAAATAAAGAAACGACAATAAATATGCAAATAAAAGGCAATTAAAAAAAATTTTATATTATTTTGCGTTTTGCGTAATATAATTTGTGCAATAAATTATTTACATAATATTTAATTACTAATTTAAATAAATGAAAAGAAAATAAAATAAAAAACAAAAATAAATATAGTTATATATGAATAGTTTAAAATAATATTCTGCTGCAGAGTCTATATGTAGTGGTAGTGGAGCATGACGGATATGAGTTCGAGCGTGATCATTTCAATAATGTGTTTGTTTTCATATAAATACATACATATATATATAAATAACATATGTATATATATATATATATATATGCTTAGTAGATATATTCATAAATATATTTAAGTAGTGAGTGTGTTTAGTTGTTGTAAGTATACTAGACTCAGTTGCTAATTTGTTATTTCTATAGAGATTTTCAAAATAAAAAAGAAAGAAATACAGAAAATAAAATACGTGGTGAGCGCGAACAAAAAAATGCTTAAAATGTGGGCGTGTAAAGGTTGTGTAGGGGCGTAAGTGTGATCGAAGTAGAGCTCAATTAATTCGAAATTGCTAGAAAATTTTAAAAATGTAATAAAGAAAATTAAATTACTGAATTAAATTTTTTTCAGTTTTTTTTCTATCAAACTTGAAATTAAATTGAATAATTTTTTTTTTAAATTTTTCTTTGTAAAAAAATTAAGCAAAAATTTAGCAAAAATTTTTACCTAAAAAAAAAAGTATATATAAAAATGTTTAAAATAAAAAAATACATTAAAAATGTTGCAAATAATAAAAATATTTAATAAATTTTAATAAAAAAAATATTTAAACAAATTTTTCTTTGTTAAAAAATTAAGCAAAAATTTAACAAAAATATTTACAGTAATAAAAAAAATATATAAAAATTTTTAAAATAAAAAAATACATTAAAAATTTTTTAAATAATAAAAATATTTAATATATTTTATTAAAAAAATATTTAAAAAAAATTTTTAATGTAAAATATTTTACATAAATACTTTTATTTATTATTAAAAATATTAAAAAAATTCAAAAGTTTTTTTATTTGTAATTAACATTTATGGGTTCAAAAATATATATTATCGCAACAAAAAATTATTTAAAAAAATTTCAAAGAAACAAAGGTAATTATAACAATTTTTTGATTCCCAATCGGTACAATATTTAGAAAAATAACTAAAAATAATGTTTTTGTAAAACAAAAAATTATTTGATTAATCTGAGTGCTAAAAAGCACTATAAAATACATAAATTTTTACCAAAAAAAATTCAAAAATTTAATTTTTCACTTTAAATTTTATAAGAAAAATTTATATAATTGATAAAATGCACAATAAATTGCATAAATTTTATTTTGAAAATTTTTAAATTATTTAATTTTATTTACGAAAACTAAAAATTTGTCAACGCTTTTGAAGCGAATAATTCCAACTCCTTAACCCTAACACGCCAACATAAGAACGCAAGCGCCCCATTATTATTATTTTCCATAGCAAAAAAAAAAAAACAAAAAAAAAATATGCTTAGCACATTGTTGTAGTTTTATGTATAATTTACGTAGCTTCAAGTTTTTTATGTTTAAAATTTGAAAAAAAAAAACACTCCTAGTTATATACATATGTATAAATAATTTTATTTATTTCTGTCGAACAGAAATTAAAAATGACAAAACGAGTACTTTAGTTGTATTTATATCAAAAAATATAAACTAAACAGCAATTATTTTTAAGTTTAGCAAAATGCACTATAAAGAAGTTAATTAATCGGCTCAGAAAATATTAAAAAAATATATATATTAATAATAATAATTTTACACAAAATATTAAAAAGTCAAAAATCATAATAACCGCTGTAATTATATACTCGTAGAGCAAGAAAAACAAAAACAAAAAAAAAAACAAACAAAAATAAAATATAAAATTATTATAATTTTAGTGAATTTTGTAGCTATTACAAAGAGTGAACTGTTTTTATTTATTTATTTTTATTAATTTATTATCAAAGTGTGCTTTCGTTGGTTAAAGAAACATTTCCTCAGTTAAAAAACGGGTATTTGTTGCGAAAAAAAAAATTCAGCTGTTTTGTTTTCGAATTCTTACATGATATGTTGATCTAAAAAGGGGATTATAATTTTATTTGCTGTAATTAATTAATTTTTTTGATACATTTTTTCATCACTTAACTCTCTCGAAGAATGCTATTCACTCATAAAGCTTTCGAGAGACGCTTAAAGCTTACAACAAGTTTTCTAGCGAGTTTCCCAATTTTTGTTTTTCATTAGAGCTTTCATGTATTTTTTTGTAGAACTTTCATATATTTTGTTTTTCGTCGGCTTTACTTCTAGATTGTTGTTGTTTACAAATTCGCTGCTTTTGGAGAACTCAAAAAAAAATAGTATGTCTTTTGTATGAAAGTTTTTCTCTTCATAAATGGTTTTTATATTATTGACAGCAACATTTCAGGGTTAAGATCACAGCTAAAAACCGGAACGGAATGCATCTCCTTGTGCTTTCGTTGCACCATCTTATGACTTTGTTAGTTTAAAATTTAATATCGAGTGGGTTTTGCGGAAATCCTGTGAAAGGTTTCCCTTCCAGTATCAATGGCAGGTTTTCTCTAATCCTCAGTTTTCCTTTTTCTTATGAAATTTCTAAAATGATTCTTTTCATGAGAGCTTTCATATTCTCCTTAAAGCTTTTATGATTTTTATTTTATTTATTTCTATCGCTCCTGTAGCTTTGAATTTCTTAGCAGTTCACTGTCAACGATTATTAAAAAAACTTTTAAATAAAAGCTTTCACTTTTTTCGAATTTTTTCGCACTCAGCTGGCAGTACACCTAAGATTGCGTACTCTACACTATAAATAATATTTAATAATAAAAAAAAAACAACTGAAACTGAACTCAAATTTCAAAGTTTCATTCATAATTTCGAAGGTCAACGCAGAAAAAATAAGTTGTTTTCGACAAGTTTTTTAAATTCATTCATAATTTTCACGCAAGCTTTTTACCGTGCTTACTCATGCAGGCGGCTTGAGCAAAAGGCAATAAAAATGCATACAAATGAACATAAATATACATATATATATTATTTCCAATTTTTATTTCCACTCATATAAATATGCGTATTAAAATGCATAATGCGTTGACACTTCCGCTGCGCATAAAACACTACCGCTCTTGAGCTGAGCCTACGCAAACGCTAAAAAAATTTAAATAAAATAAAATTCATATTGAAAAAAATAAGAAAATTAATATCTTAAAAAAATATATAAAACAATAAAAAAAAATAATTTAAATAAAAAATAACTAAAATTAAAAATAAATAAAATAAAAAATAAAAAAATAAAAAATAAAAAAAAAATAAAATTGAATAATAATTAAAAAAAGGAAAAAAATAATTATTTTATTAAAAAATAAATAATAAATAAAAATACGAAAAATATATAACATGAAAATAAAATATAAAAAAGGAAAAAAATATAAAAAAAAGGAAAAAATTATAAAAAAAGGAAAAAAATATAAAAAAAGGAAAAAAATATAAAAAAGGAAAAAAATATCAAAGAAGAAAAAAAAGTATAAAAGTAAGAAACAAATATAGAAAAAATAAAGAATAAAAATATGACGATCGCGCATTTAATATACCAAATAGCTTTCAGCACTCCATAATCAGCGCAATAAAATCATTTAGATTTCTTCCGAGAAAAATTATAGCAATTACAATAACATTTGCAAGCATTTCACGCCAATTTTTACATTCGTACGCTGATCGTTCGTACTGATCTTCGATGATCGTCATCGTCACTGATCTAACTACGATCGCTTTTCCGCACTCTATAGCTTGCTCGCTTGCTTGCCTGCCTGCCTACTACACACTCGCCGAGTCAGTCGGTCATATGAATAATGTCAATGTCAGTGGCACTATTTTCGTGTTGCTGTTTTGTTTTTCACTATTAAAGCGTGGGATACAATGACGTGTGCCACATGCCGCTCAAAAAGTTTTGCATACTTACCACATAATCGGCATATGTTTGTACATATGTAAATGTGGAGTCGTTACAGGCTGTAGGCAGTCAAGAAAAAAAAAAAAATAAAATAAAAAAAATAAAGCACAGCGCATGCGCGCAAACGACTTTGCCGAAAGCAAGAAATTCGTAGCAAATTAAAAACAAAAACCGAGTAAAATAAAGAAAAATAGTAAAATAAAATTTAAATAACACATGTCATTTAAGAAAAAATAAAAAAGAAGGAAAAATTAAAAAAATATGAAAAAATTAAAAAATATGAAAAAATTAAAAAATATGAAAAAATTAAAAAATATGAAAAAATAAAAAAATATGAAAAAATAAAAAAATATGAAAAATAAAAAAATATTAAAAAAAAAAATAAAAAAATATGAAAAAAAATATAAAATATGAAAAAAAATAAAAAATAAAAAATATGAAAAAAAATATAAAACGACATAAGAAAAAGTAAAGAAAAACAAAAATAATTAGGAAAAAATAAAAAACAATTAAAAAAAAGAATAAATAAAAAATATTCAAGAATAAAAACATATTACGAAATAAAAAAGGAAATAAACAAATAGGAGTAAATAATAAAGGAAAAAATAAAAAAATACGAAAATAAAATCGGAATTAAAAAATAAAAGTAAAATAAAATAAAAAAACTGGAAAAAGGCAAAAATGAGTCAGTAAAAGACAATAATAAAATAAAGACAAAAAAACTTATTTAAAAAGAAAAACTAAAATTTAAATAAAAAACGAAAAGAAAAAAATAAAAATATAAATTAAAGAAAAATTTTAAGATTAATAAAACAATTAGAAAAAAAAATTAAAAATTTAGAAAAATTTTAAACTTTAGAAAATACTAAAAAAGTTTGAAAGAAATTAAAAAATATGGAAAACAAAATAATTAAAAAATATTTGAAATAATAATTGCACTTAAATAAAGTCGAAAAACTAGCGCTGCGGCTAAATATTCCACGAATCGCTTTTACGCTCTCTTTAAGCAGTTCGATCGCCCCTTGAGTTGGCCAGTTGGTGTACGATCGCTAGCAGATAGTAGGTGTACGCTTATTTTTTTTTTTAAT